CCTCACTCACTGAGCTATCCAGCCAGCTTGTGGAGGTCATACCAGATTGGAAAGACAATATGACAAGTCTTGTTTTGCCCTTTGTGCTGAAATGGCACCGTTTAAACATGCTGAGCTTGTAATTAGAGAAACTATAGCTCTTCTGACTTGGAAAACTCTCATTTTATTTTCCCAAACTAGAAAACTCACCAGAAGCTGGCAGATGAGAAGAGTCTCTACGTAGTAGAATTTCGGGACGAATGTGGCCCACTGCCCATCGTTGTTGCAAAGCCCCAAGGGCCGGTGAGGGAAGATCCTGAGCCTGAGGATGAAGTTTCTGATATCATACCAGAGTGGAGAGAAGTGAAGGCTGCCCAGGGAGCAAAGAGTCGCTGGGCAAATCTCAAAAGAACAATTTGGTAAATTGGATCAGCGTTGAGATACACAAAACTAAAAAGATTCAGCATCATCACCAGAATATTTGTCCTTTGTCAAATAGGTGAAGACGGCTGAATGTTTTCGTTGTGCGGCCTCTCAACGGCTGCTGCTGCAGCAACTTAGTAGCCGAAAAGAACTTGGTCATGCCTTTCCCATTTCCCATCATTTTGAACGCAAATGGTGGGTGTGCCTATGGACGAGAGGGAGAACTTTTGTCTTGCGGGTCAGGAAAGCAGGTATGGTGAAGCTATCAAATAACACACTTCGAAATAAAGTTGTAATCAAATGCCATACTGTCTCTCTTTTCTTTATAGAGGTTCTGGTCTGAAACAGCTTCTAATGCTGATGATAATATTATTATTATTTCCAAGAAAGGCAAACACGATGCCACGAGTTCTCGAACTGTTTGGGCCCCTTTAAAACAAAAAGCAAATTTCGCCTTGTTGATAGGCAAAGAGGAAAGTAATGTAGACATGCCATTGGGAGACACAGTTGGAAGCAATCCAGCAAAGCCAAAACATTAGAACGTAGGAAGAGTCCTTTCACTGACCCATCTAGACCCGTTTTGGCAACTTTGGGTGGCATCAACATTCCAGGATTTTGGGAAGGGTTCTTTATTGTCTTTGATCTGTAAATCCCTGGTATTATGGGGTTGTTCCCGTCCAAATGCTACTAGCCCTAACTCTGCTTCTAGAATCAGATGAGATCAATGTGTTTAGGACCACATGTGGTGAGATATTTTGGGGGATCCCATCCCCATCTCCAGTACAAACAGGAACATGGCCTAGTGGTAGCGCACATGTTTTTGTGCAAATGGTTCCAGGTTTACCATCGGACCCAATTGAAAGGTATAGCAAGTCTGCCTGAGACCCCAAAGTGTTTCTACCATTTAAAGTAGGCAGTATTTCATATGAGCCGAAAGTCTGATGATCCAATATTAAGCGGCCTCAGCCTGCAGTTGGAGATTTGCATCCCAGGATCCCTCACAACCCCTACAAAAGGCCATGGGGTGTAACTCTGTACAGATGTGACCCAGGCTGCACACCTAGTTATGCAAGAGTGCAGGTAGTTCACAGTATTCTTTGAGTCATACATCATATTGTCATTTGTCCTTTGTTTTCAAAGAATATATCCATCAGATGCAGATTCACCAGAAGTGAGTGATTAAGGTTGAACAGCAGCACGCTGATAGAAACACAGGTGAACTAACAGGCCTAATTACTGCATGTAATCAATGAA